CGGGGGGGAAAAAGTCGATAGTATGCGCCTAGCCGTGTACCACGGCCGATTTTCCAGCCGAGAATCGAGGGAAACGGGCCATGGGGATTAGCTGAAAGTTTCAGTGGCGAGGTGCGCAAAGCGTTCCATAATAACTAAAACCGCTTCAGATGTTGCTTTTTTCTCGTCGAACCGCACGATGCTGGCTCGTTTGCTCGCCAGCCAGACGTCTGCTTGTCCGTTCGTTATTCCGTGAATAAATAATTGAGGGAACATGCGCGTGCGAAAGCCTGATGAAAATTTCAATCAATGGCTTTTCGTCCGTTCACTGCTTCAAAATTATTCAACGATCTCTTTCTCTCGCCCTGCGCTATTCCGCCGTCTATCTTTCTCTCTCTGGCGCGTTCTCTTTGTGGAAGTGACGACGATTTCTGCAACAAAGAATTTCTCTTCCACCGCGGCTTCGATATTAGCTTCGTAGGGAACCTCGTTTCGGCTCGCATTTTCGACGCGCTAACGCGCGTTTGCCGTGTTACAGGACGCGTTTCGCGACTGCGGAACACGGCTATATATCTTTATCATTCGGTATAAACGGACAGGAGGGGGGTGTGATACACAGAACAGTCTGCGAATCTCCATCGTGTCACGTAGGACCTAATCTAGGTCAACGGAATTGAATTTAGAACCGAGTCAGAATATTCTCGCTGTACAGCGGTTTCGAATCAACCACAATTCAAACTCTATCGAAAGATATCTTCCCCCGTAAAGTGTTTTCTAATCTCTTCGAGGCGTCGCGCGTTGCCCAAAAATTCGTAATTCGGCTCTTTTCGGTTTCTCGACTGTTCGTCGAGCTCGCTTCCTCGGTTTGTTTCTACGCGAGCGACCGCCAGCAATGGTGCGCGTACACGTGCGCGGGCATGTAAATAAACAATTTGAAGCAACCGGCAGGCATGCTGAATTATCCGCCGGATCGATCATACTTTTGTTGCGTGTTACAACGGTGAATCCGGGAGCGAGAGATACCGAAGCCCGGGCAGGAAGTAATAGTCGAGTGATAGAGTTGAGTGCGGGGAATTTTTATGGGTAAATCGATGTTGCATGCGGAAAGGGCAAAGGAGAAGGAGAGAAAGAGCCCGTGAGACGACCGACGCATGTGAGAGACGGAGAGGAACGACGCGAGGTGGGAACAAAAAGAGAGACGGAGAGAATCGAGCTGAGCAAAGGAACGAGAAACGACGTCGGTCGTTCGAGAAGGACGCCCAAGGAGCAAACGGGACGGACCAGTCGGTGAAATGTGCGAACGCGAGAGGGACGGAGACAGTGTGTAGTGGGTGTGAAAGAGGGGAACCTATGCAGCGAGGCAAAGGGCGCTAGAAATCTGGGGCGGGGATAGATCCGGGGGCTTTTGCGCTGTGCACGCGACCTTGAATACCAGCCAGCCTAGACCTTGCCACGGCTCTTTCGCTCGGTTTGCTTAGTCCAGAGACCGCCTCGCTGTAGATACTGTTGTTTCGAGCGTCGGCCTAAATCCGATATCTCGCTTCCTCCTTCTTCTTGCCTCACCTATCCGACAACCTGCGAGCCGCGCGAGCGTGCCGATTACGTAAAAGATGAGAACTCGAATTATCGCCGTCTGTATCTCGGGTAATTTTGTTTAGTGGCTTCTCTCCGGCCAGTCCCTGTTATTATTCGCGGGAATATACGCGACGACGTTCCACGGAAACGTTGTTTTAACGAATCCGCGATAGGAATTCCCCGGTCTCAGCGAATTTTAGCTCGAAGCTGCATTACTGAAACTTTTACACGCGCTGGATATTTGAAACCCAACCACGGCAGAGACCACCTCGTGCAAATTAATAGGAAGACACCTACGATACCTAAAATAATTAATTGTTTATAATTTTCTCCGCGAATGAATTCTACTAATTATAATTCCCATTTCGTGCAACTGTATAACTAATTGTCACGTAGAAATATCTCTGCTCGTATAGTAATGCATCCGAGCAGTTGCACATTGGAATAACGGTTCTACTGTAATAGGTAGATATATATGTACATATTTCCATTTCGTATAGAGCTCGCTAAACGAAAAACAACCACTAAGAAAGAGTGAAACCACTAGTCTAGATTGATTGTCTCACGGTTAATATGTAAAGTTAGCTCGACTATATAGCGATCTAGGGGAAAACTAGTAACTAAACGACAAAAATAAATAATAAGGTAATATACGTACCGGATAAAACACAGTCTTGAGTATAATGCTTCTCGTGTTAAGATACACGACACCTTTTACTGCAACATACTTGCTGCATGATGTCCGCTTGGGCGCCAGCAGAATTATAATTCGTATTCAATTGGATTCAGTGTAAGCGGATGCGAGATGTCCTTCACGTTTAGGACACAACACGTTGCTTTTTGTAAGATCGGACAGGAATGTAGATTAGGCAAGTTTCTCACGGATCTCGTTCTTGAACAGAATTGAACAAAATGTAATTCGAATAATAGTAATAATAATCGATATTCGATAGGAATGACAATAGACACTGCACTCGAAGTATTAATGTTTTCGTTTAAAAAAAATACGACTTTCCTTTGAAATGTTACACGTGTAACAAGTAAGTTTAAGAGTATAAAGAACTTCGAAGATCAAAATGTTTGAGAGCCACTGTCTTAAAAGATGCGACATCTTTCTTGTGCAAACATTCAGACCAGCAGATTGTGGACTATAGATTGTATACATTTTACATATACTTTCATAAAGGTGACGAGATCTGAAGGGCTTCTATCAGAAATAGCTGTTTCGTCAGCTTTGTTTTGAATGCGTATATTCGGAGATACTATCGTCAGGTCGCGAAACTAAATAACATTTTTGAACTACCTACGCATATTCATAGGTACGCAACGTATTTACATTGTCACGACATTTCGTCCTTTCGTTTACATTCTACGAGAAAACATGATTAGAAAACGAAAACATTGTACGATATAGTGTTCTATTGTCTACTTTAAGTTAGATAGATTCATACTTGCAATATCGTAAGATTGGTATCTAAACAGAATATGGCGAACGAGGTTCACGATCTTCTTGCTCGCTGGAGCGATCGTGCTGGGTGGGATCATAACGGACCTTTGCTACGACCGCGCCTAGAATCCAATGGATCCAACATAACTTCGCTGCTTATCCACCTGTCTTTTTATGTTTTTGCCAAATTGTACAGCTTTCGAGATCGCAGCGGCATCTATCTTAAGAATCGCGAAACATTCCTAATCACGTGACTACAATCGTACCGATTTTATTCTAGAACTACCGGTCACATGACTCACCGGTGTATGTACATTGTCAATGGTCAAAACGTTGAATATTTCGCAATTTCAACATAAAAAACTATACTGTAATAATCCCCAAACATCGAATACAATTTGTGTCGTTTCTAAGAATCAGGTACTTACGTGTTATTATAACCTTTTGATCTTGTTAGTGAATTAACTACATATTTTACTACAAAAGGAAACGAGTCCTTTTAAAATATATATGGCATAGAATCTAACGTAACTTGTTGTTTAAATTAGGGATATAATACGCAAAATTGTTCGTTAATTTATAACTAATGTCAAACTTACTATATTATACCGAACTATGAAGTACGAAAAATAATAGAAAGAATGGTAATATCAAACTATGTAACTTGATATGTTACGAATTTTTGTTTCACTTGACTTACTTTATACGAAATGCTAGTACTTTTGCACGAAATGGTCTTGTGATCTTCAACCGGCACAAAAGTGATAAAAATGACTCTCACTATTCTTTCAAAGTTCTACGGTTTTGTAGTTTATACTTTTATAAATTAATTAGTATTTACGAATCTGTCGTTTAACTTAAAGCGTGTGTAAACAGTATTATCAGCTTGAACTGCATGTCCTCACAATCCTATTGGTCCGTTGCATCGATACAGCCATGCTGACCAGGGCTGTATCACTGTGGGTTCAAAGAACAGTGAATCGAGGCATGAAAAAATGTAACAAACAATCTAAAAATCGATACTAGAACTTCTACCAACAAATATTACGAATATTAGTAAGTACATTAGTATTTGCATAATAACTTGTATAAAAAATTATTCAACGAACACGTGCATGTTCCGGGCACATGATTCTGTTTACCTGCACTCTATCTTTAACTTGAAAAAGTACAGTTACATATTCAGTTAGACAAAGCGAATATTTCATTCACTTTTTGTATCGAAAACAATTAATAACTATTTTAATCTATGTAATAATTGGTTGTAATGTAACAAACATTTTAATTCGGGATTAAAGTGTACAGATATTGACACACTGTGTGTTGCATTGAAAATAATTCAAACCGCATTGCCCGAATACTTAAGCTTCCGCGTGCTTGGTCGTAGCGCAGCGTGTAACATCAAACAGTGCATTGACTCGGTACAGTGAGTTACATTGAGTGTTCGAAATTAGTAATCGTATAGTTTGTTACCTTAAATCGAAGAAAATGTTCAATAAAAAATGTGATGATAACTACAGTTTTCCTAGAACAAAATTAGGAAATGTATATTGCATAGAATGCAAACACCAATTTTTCTTTCGAGGTACTTAATCGTCGAATATTTTCAACCACGTTTTCTAGCCGGTTGTTTTTTATTTGTTTATGTATTTCTGTTAATAATGAGATAATTATTCGTATGTAACACTTTTTTAGTTTAAGAAATCATTTTATGAAGCTCTTATGCTTTTCTATTTGTATACATTGCATTATTATTGCAAACTTGTAAATATATGCGGTAATCTGATTGTAACTATCATAGAGGTTAGGACAGTATCTTATTTGTAGTTGTGATGAGTCGTTTGTATCTTTTCTCATGTTGCACATGTTCTTTTTATACACTTTTTGGAATTATTATGTTTTCTGAGAGAGACGTTTAAGAAAATTTCTTAATACGTTTGTTTCAGAATTTGTTCCCATACGTGGGGTTGTGCCTTTATTATTACAATGCGGGCACATTATGTGTGATAAATGTGCTAGTAAAGATCATAATAAACCTTGCCCTATATGCAATACAATTCCACAATATGAAAATAGTCAGAAAGTTTCATTGCCTTTAAATATGTATGCATTGGGATTAATGGTCGTGTCTCATAATCGGCCAGTTAATACAGATGATTCGGATATTTCTTTTTCACAATCAATAAATTCCAAGATGAAGAAACAATGTATGCAAGGTCTGTATTTATCGGGAAAGGATAGAGTACTTTGAATTATTTTTTAAAATTAAATTTAAAAAATAATTCTTTCCTTTTAGGTCTGTGTCATGAATGTGGAATTCAAGCAACATTAAAGTGTCTACAGTGCAGTGCTCTCTATTGCCAAAGTTGCTATTCCAAGGTATGTCTTTTTTATTATGATCTAGCTATCTGTACATAGTATGAAAAACTAGGATGTTATGGTAAGTAAAAGTGTACGTATACATTTTACCAGATCCATGGGAGAGCGCTTCAAAACCATACAAAAACTATATTAGCAAAGAAGAATGCTGATCATGCCTTTGCTTTACAAAACACATGTTCAGACCGATGTTCAGAACAATTGGGGTATTATTGCGAAGATTGTGAAATAGCGGTATGCCCTCATTGTATGTTGCGCTTACACAAGAAGCACAATTACACACCATTAATAATCAAGGTATGTATATCAATGTGTATTATGAAATGCTGCCCAATAAAGTGTTGTAGCATTACACAAAAAAATAATACATTTTTATTTTTATCGTGTTACAGAATCAGGAACTGATGTCACAATTTTGCGAGATATCTGAACGTCTCAACCAGAGCCTGCTAAGGATTCGTCATGCGCAAAAGGTGAGTTTTATTTTGAATTTATATCTTTGTTACAAAAGAGGTTCTATTACGTCGCATATACAGTAATAAGATATACTACAAAACGATAAATAAATAAATTTATTTAATACTTGTAACAATATTGCGTACACGTTAAAAATTGAAGGTTTATGTATCGCAACATATGGTCTTAACAATTATGAATTTCCTTAAATGCAAGAAAGTGTTTGTCATTGAGTACATTAGGCTGTATATGTGGCCTGCGTAATACATGTGTAATGAAACCATCCCCCGTGTGCATGGGGCGGGATCAATTTATGTGGGTAATAGCCGAATAATGCGAATAAGACGGGTGATGCGACAACGAACCAACAAAATTCTTTTATTTTATCTTCTAAAATCAAAGTCTATATTTGTACGGTCAAAAAAGGGGACTTGGCTTTTGTATGTCAACATATACGGGTATCCAACACGCGATAATAAGGTGGCGTACACAGACGTCGACTACAATAACATTTTTGGCCGCTGCTCGAGAATTCGTTATCAAAATATAAATCTATCTGTTAACCCGAGACCCTCGCTCTTACGCAGTTACGCAGAGTTTCGCGCTCTGTGGAGATTCACGCGGAGACTTGTTGTTGAGTCCCTTGATATGTTTGCTTGCTTGCGAATGCCACCACGGTTTTACCCAAATTTTATTTTAACGAGGCCTCGACAACAAGTAATCGGTACTCGAATCGGCACACACCTCCGCTGGGAATCCCCGCCCGCGGTAGGGGAGACACCTGCGCTTGCGTATAGTTGATATCATCGTATCGGCGGCCATGTCGATCGGTTACAGTAAACGTAGAAATAGTAGAGTATATCCTGTTATAAATAATTATACAGTACAAATATGACTAGAGGAAAAGAAAATACTTATTGACATTATCAGTTATTTCATACTTGTTGGTTTCTGGCATTCCTAACTGCTTTATACGTGCCCCCAATAATTAGATTAAACGTCATAGCTGGATATTTTAATGAAACAGGATAATTTGATTTTCATTAACATAGAGATCTCGTATTAAATTTTTCTTATAGTACGCTAAATATAAATCACACAAACCTATGATATATATATTGCACATTTTTAAGTTTCACAAAATTCATTCACGTCCAACGATATGCTAAACACAACCTATGATTGTTTGTTGCTATTCGTAATAAATAATGGCAACAAGGCATGTCTAACATGAGCAAGGCTTAAATCGGCCAAATTATAATAATTTAACTACAAGCTATATATCGATTACTCGTCTTCCTTTTGTGTTTCTGGTTTATCTTTGAGCTTCTCTGTTTCCTCTTTCTTCAGTTCCTCCTTCAGTTTTTCTTCCATTTCTTTGAATTTGATCTCTAAATACCGATCTACTTCCGGGCCAGTAAAATCCTCGGGGAATTTCGGCATTACCGGCAAAATGTATTTGTATAGTCGTTCGTTCAATACATATAATTGCGTCGTCGTTTCGCAATTAACGTTGAACCACCAATCGCACGTTAACGCCACTTGGCTGAATATGGTGCCATTTGGGCATAAAAATGATGATTTGCCACCGTTGAGATCGCAATAATGCCATACCTGCACAATAATATTATTATCATTACGGAATCTCAAAAATAAAATACAGAATTTTTATGGTAGCCCTACAACGGAGTTTCGTTCGATAACTACGTAAATTAGTCTTTATTTGCTAGTCATATTTACGAAACTTTGTCGTAAGTCTAGGATTACCTGTTAAAACAATATTACAAATTTTACCTGACACCCTGTGTCTGGATCACCAAAGAATCCCTTATAACGTTGCTGTTTGCAACTGAAGTTCGTGAATGGTATATTGGAATAGGCCGGATAATCAACGTTCGCCTCTCCCCGTGTAGCACCATGCTTGGCCGAGGTCTGCGTGTCGGTATGTTGCGGGGTTGTAAGTTTCTTAGGTTCCGTGTAACTGGAGATCGAACTTTCCGTAGTAGTAGATGGCAAAGTGTAGTGTTGCTGTTGCAGTACGTCGTCGCTCAGATCTTCCATGATTTCGTAAGAGTGGCCTGTGGAGCTCTCGTCCACTTGAGGTCTGATAGTTGGTAGGAATACCTCTTTTTCCGTAACTGGAACATCTTGAACGATAGGGAGGTAGTATTCTACCACCTTGTTATTGTTTAGACCGTCAGCAACATAGTTGGGTCGAGTGGGTGGCTTATGTTTTATCCCATCCTCGTACGACGATATTTTGTAACGTTCAGGATCGTCGGTTAGGTACAGTGGGTTCGGTGTTGCTTGAAATCGTGATTCCGTAATTACTTTTGGGCGCGTTTGCGGCCGTACCTTAAAATTTGGTACCTTCTGTGGTTGCCTAGGTGGTGCAGATACCAATGGCGCCAGAGGCGGTGGTTGCATCTCTAGCAACTCGTTTTTCGTGTTATGAAGGATGTTGAGTATTTCTAGGAGAGTTTTCAAGCTGATGTCGATGTTATCCTTGCTCAGCATCTCTGGCAAACGTTCGCTCAGATGAAAGCTCTCGATTATCTGATTCAGGTGTACGTTTGGATTTCGTGGCAGTTGTGGTATCATAGGTGGTTGTCCAGTAACAGATTCCAGCGTTTGTACGTTCGAATATCCCGATGGTGGGATGTGTCGATGTCCTGGAAAGTCTTTAATTGGATAATTAACTCTGGCGTTGTCGGTAGGTCTAACATTATAATCCAACACGTAGTCATCTCGAACGTTGGTGTGAACTGGCTTGGCCAACTGTTTTCTAGGCAGTTGATCCCTGCCGTTCGTCGTGTAAGGTCGTAATGGTCTCACGTTTGCGTGATACCTGTTCTCCTTAAGTGCGATCTGACTGGATGCTGTCGATATTTCAGGATACATTGCTTTCCTATCCGGGTACGTTTGGTACGGCATGGAATAATCGTCGTAAGTGACTTTCGAACCGTGTCTCACAGGCATGAAGTAGTCGTTGTCGCTTCCCAGACTGTGAGGATCGTATTGCACGGAGGGAATAAATTTTTTCTCCTGGCTATGCGCATAGGTGCGATGACTGTTCCCTTTCCTTGGCACGTTGAGGTACCTGGCATAAGATTGCAGGCTTTGCCTCGCCTGTGGGTTGTTTTGAACCTCCTTTGCAGCACTTTGTGGCACCGGAATTTGTCCGTTAACGTGATTGTTAGCAACGTAGAACGTTAGGTAGGGTATCAGTCTCCTGTACCTTTCTTTGAACTCGTCCAGAGTTATGTTTTCTGACGATTTGTCATCCTCCTTTTCCACTGCAATCTTTGTCGAGTTCGTATCCGACGATGCTGCACGGTTCCTCATGGACAACACTGTAACAAAAATAAATTCGTATTAGGTACCTATTATTACAGTTGTTACAGTTTCGTTTTGACCTATATTCTCCGTTATCGGTTAAATTAATGATATGTTACATGACTCATACGGCTCCAACATCGATCTTAAACATGTTGACGCGTGGTTAGTAGACTATATCAGCGAATAGTTAACGCTTATAGAGACTTTACACTTTAAAGTTCTTATGGTTTAGCTCTAACTTTGTAACTTCAAGAATATATTATAGAGGGTCGTACTTGTCTTGCGTCAATATCACCCTACAACCCTACGTGACTAAAGTTTCATACCAGTGATCTACGGCTGTCTCTCAAAGTCTGATTCAAAGTATGGTTTCAAAAATATTTGTTCATCGACAGGTAGAAATTGCTATTGGAACATGTTTTCTGAATAAATAATCGTGCAAAAGAATTTTCCATGAACCGAACGGATCACGAATCGATTAATCTCGATTTAGATCGCCCCTCGATTCAGGGTGACGGTGATACCTTCGGATACGGTCTGTATAAAATACGGTTTAACGCGGCAGAGACGGTCGATGGCAGTCGCAGCGCACGAGATCCGGCATTTGATAAACGTACCGCGAGTTCCTCTAAATTCAAGTGTTTTCGAGTGTCGCGTAACGGAGAAGAGAGATAGAGGGAGTCGCAGCAATCAACGGGGATCTAGATATTACGTCTCGGGGCAGGGTCGCGCGAGGGAGAGGTTTGAAAATCAGTTGAACGCGCTGACGTTTCCTTATACCGCATGAGATACGTTTCCTAATCGGCCTTTTAAAAAATCACCGGCGTGCATCGTTATCCCCCGTGGCTGAGCTCTTCCTTCCTCCCTCTCGATCTCAATCTGTTCCCTCTTGCCCGGATACGTGCGAAGTAATGCGTGCGCTGCACTCCTGGTTCGGTGAAATTAAATTAGAAGGAAAATATTCGGAGAGCCGTCCAGCGCTTTTGCACGTGCGCCGAGATAGCAAGAATAAAGGACCCGCGGATGTGTGTGTACGCACACTTGTCACCGTACGGGCGTGTGTGCATGCACTCGTGCAGGATATATTCGCTCTGGCACGTTCGAGTGCTGCAACCACTAAAAACGTACCAATCCTCCGACTCTACCCTCCAGCTTCAACCCCCCTTCAACCCTACGCGTACGCTCGGCGACTACCTTTTTCCGTTATTCTCGTCTTCCTCGATCGTGCAGGACTGGCTCGATCTTCCCGACGCTGCTAGACGAAACCCGGCTCTATCGAATTTACTTCGATTGGCTCTCGTCGCTAATTATAGCGTATTTAGCGAACGATGTTTTCTCTTCGTCAGAATTCTCCTACCAGCGCCCCATTTCGATCGCGCGGTTGTTTGTTCCGTTTTTTTTTTACCGATCGGAGTGCGAACGCAGAGAGGGCCGAAACTCTTATAATTCTGCAGTGAAATATTAGATGCATTATTAAACATTCGTAGTTACTTTTATAAATCAGTGTAAATAGTTTTGCAACGATTTCTGTAGATATTCTTAATTTATCCTGAATTAATTTTAACTCCCTCGAGGGGAGGCTGGGACGAAGAAGAAAGCTATTTAGACGGTATCGGGCTTGTAAAGTTTAACCTCTAGGATATTAGGGATTTCTGGCCAGCTGTTTCCACGAAGAATTACTTCAAATGGCACAATTAGTCGTAATCGTTGGATTTACTTCGTTTTTTCTTGAAATTGTAAGCGTCGTTGCCTTAGAGTGCTTCGGCCAGAGGATTTAACTTTTTTTTGTTACGGTATATTATTTGAGTAGCTGTTGAGCGCCGTGAAACTCGAGCATCAAATATCGTAATATTCTTTTAATTTTGTTGCCAGTATCACTTGCCAACTGCGGGCTTTCCCTTTATTGTAGCGCCGGAAGTATGAAAACCCTCTCACTCTGCATGCTTGAATGCAGCATATGTCAGAGTGCTATTCAAACGTAACAGTTTCACCATTTATTCAAGAGAAAATGCAAGTTCCTTGGCACAATAGGAGCGATGGGAACCTATCGTGAATATATGAATAAAAACATTGTATATTAGCCAGCCTCGAAATTTGATAAATAGTAAAGTTAGCATTACGTCTTTAAAGAGTATGGAATTCGATGGTAGAAAGATGTCAGGATCGTACCGAAGTGGAATGACACGTGAAACACATCGTATGGGAGATTACAATAATTCCGTGTAATCTCTAATAATCCTTTGCTTTCATATAGCAAGCAATGAACGAGCGCGGCCGGGTAATTAACACTATCAAAATAGAAAATCGATGTTTAATCCGGAACGGTTGATTTACGAGTCAGTATCGAGTAAGCATGTTTTACTCGGTTTAATAGGCCAGACCTGCAAATTTCTGATTTCGCGTGTTCTCGATTCTCTCTGCTTAAACTTGGACCAGATCGGTATACTATACAGGGTGTACTCTACTGAATAGACAAGATTACACGTGTTTATTGTTTCATTTGGAAAATGGTAAATTGCTGTACTGTAGCGCATAATTATCGAAACCATTCGTAGGATGCAGTCTTGGTCCGTTTCGATTCGTCAAGAGTTCGTTACGCGGCGACACGAGGGAAACGTGTGAGTGGATATAAACCCCGCCGCCTCGCTAGACCCGCCATGAATTTTTATAAACCGATTATTTAGTGGCGATGTAACAAAGTGCGGTGCGGCATCGCTCGAGAGAAAGCTCGACGGTATCCGAGCGTGGCACATCAAAGGGACGAGCGCGCCGGCCGTATCTCTCTTGCACACAGATATACACCGTCCCCGACCTGGAAATCCAATTCGATTCTGCATGAAATGAGTCTGGAAACTTTTCGTGTAGCGCGCGCCGCTTTATTAATTCTGTCAGTACGGAACGTGATTGAAAAATCCGCAAAGCGCGTGTGCCGCGACCTCTAAGAGGTTCCCGCCCTGGAAATTTACAAAGCGCCAAGGGTGTGTCTGTATCTGCATAAAGATGTGCACGATCCTTCGGGGCTAACTGGACCAGACCTCTCTCGCTTTGCTCTCTTCCCTTTCGTGGAAATTCGATTCCAAACGGGGCGAGTTAAGGCGGCATTTAGACCCGGCTCGCCACATCAAGCATAGAAACGATACGTTAGCCCGCCAAACATCCCTTCGTTCAGTTCTTACTAAATGTTTAACCGCCACCATTACTAGAATTCAAGAGCCTAACACAGCGCTGAAATTAAATTTTACTTACACAAGGTGTTTGGCCACCCCTGAAAACAATTAATAAAGAGAGATTCTAGAGGCCAAAGTAAGACAAAAATCAAGAATTAAAATTAAATTATAAAATTTGAAAATCATTTTGAAAAAATTATTTTTGGGGGCAGGAGTCAATTCCAATCATTTTTAGTGAATAGACATACCCTCGAAATCCTAACCATTTTCAAGAAAAAAATTCATTATCGAAAATATGTCTGACCATACCGTTGATATGTTTCACTGAAATTTCTTGCGTATCTTTAAAACATCATAACTTCTGAACGGATTGACGGATCGCAATGATTCAAAATTTAAACAATGCGTATTAATGGAGACTAATGGAGGATACAGGCAGAACTTTAAACGTTAATAACTTTTTAGCGAAACCTCAATAAACAAATTGGTATTCTTTTGGCCACTAGAATCTCCTATTAAAATTTTTCCCAGGGGTGGCCGAAAACTCTGTCTACTTAGAGAAGGGAAAGCAAATAAAGTGTTTGGAATTGACGGTGTATCAATTAAATTTTCGAAAGCGTAGCAATCGGCGGTTTAAAAAATTCGTATCGAGAGATTTATCGTGCGCGCGTTGTCAAATTACTTCCTATTCATTTTCATTCGTTTCGTTCAATCTCCTCTTATTTGATTACTTTACCTGTCGCAGTTTTGTCCCGCTTCCTACGATCGTTTTTGTCCTCATCCTATTTTGCGCGGAATTCTATACCGAGGTGTACGTCCGATGGTAATATTCCATGCAAAGGCAGACGGTAATCCTTCACTCGTTAAGAACTTTCGTTTCCGCGGCGAGAAATGAGAAATGGCTTTATTTCGAGGAATGTGTATTGCTTTTTCGCGCGGCCCTTCGTCTGCCGACCCCCATACAATAAATAAACCGGCGGTTGCAGTAATTTTCCCCTCGCGCGATTGTGAATATCGACGTTACCTGCTCCAGCGCCGTTATCAATCGTCCGTGGCAGCTCTCTTTTGTGACGAATGTTTTGAATAACGACTGTAAAGACAACTTTATATATTACGTGGTCGTGTTTCATGTATTTTTGTATCGTCAAATTGCGGACAAGACCGAATGGACCTGCAAGGTTTTGTTCTCGGACCATTTCAGTTTGAACGCCCCATGCCATAAGTCATTCAGCACTTAATAAACTCGGAACAAGAACGAACCGACGACGTATAATTATGTCTTAAATTTCCTTTTCATCCATGCATCCACCTCGCTTGGGAAACAATCTCTCGATTAATTTCGTTCAAATTGTTCTTTAATGCTTTCTACGTGTCGTTTGTTTTCGAACACGTTTGTCTATACAATCTGACTTACCGCATATTTAATAACATCAAATGAGTAAATGTATCGAAATAACGTAGCTACAGAAAATGATATTTGCATCTTCATTTGCATTTTTCAAGCTCGACGGGCAAATATCCGATGATTTATGGACGACAGTTTACATTCTGCGATATATACTTCCCCGTTGAATATTACTTTTGTTATTGACCCGTGAACTATCGAACGTCGTTAATAGTTTCTATTCAAGTGGAAAAAACACGGAGAGAAAGCGTGGGTTGTTAAAAATTCTAGTATTCTCCGCGCGATATTTTGTATGTAGTACAGTGTAAAGAGAGAACATTTTATAACGAGAATGGATGGCTTATTCGCGACAAGTTTGATTAGTCTTCCGGCAGCGGAAGGGTGAAATGGTTGATACCAAGGCAAGAGAGCTTCTGAATTCTGTTTGCGTCTACTTCGTAGT